GAGCAGCAGGGGCTGCGCGCTCGAGTGCTCCCAGCCCAGGTGCGACCTCGGGTTCCACGTCTCCTGCGGCCTCAGCGGCGGCCTCTGCATCGAGTACCGCGAGGAGAAGGGCGGCGGCGTCGTCGCCGGCTTCTGCAGGGAGCACACCAAGCTCTGGGAGAAGGTAAAGTCCTGTAATTTTCTTGTCAGTGTCTTGTTTGAACTTGCTTCAGCGATCTGATGTGAAATTTTTTGGTTGGATTTGTGTGTGTGTTGGTGCAGCAACAACTGACTGGCAAGTACAAGATTGTTTCTAGAGGGCAGCAATGACATGGAGATGGAAGAGAAGAATCTGGCGATCAATTGTGCTATGGAGTGGTGAAGAATTGCATCTTATAACTGTCTAGGATTGTGTCATTGTTCTACAGTAGTATTTTTGGTGTGCCTTCTACAATCTTCAGATATGGTAGAAGATTAGAAGTGTGTCATGGCATGTACTGAGTTTCATTGCCATAGTTTTATGGTGTAGTCTGTAGAAAGCATGTAGTAGCACTAGCAGTTAAGCTTCAGCTCACTTCTGTTGTTAGTACTACCTCTCTCTCAGTTTACAGGGCGTGCGCGTACTCCTAGGTCGTCAATTTGACCAACCTAATACAAGTCATATATTACAAAAAATATACCAACATAAACTTCAGAGTTTCTACTTTCAAAAGGTATCATTTTTATGTTCTATAGTTTATATTAGAGTGATAAAATTGACAACCTAGATATACGTGTAGGACTTGTAAACTGAAACGGAGGTAGTAAGTTGGGTTGTTCCTACCTCTTGATTATTTTCAATAAGCAGAGTTTGAAGTCTATAGGTTGGATTAACACTGTCTAGTTGTAATTTGGTGTCAGTATTGAAATAAGAGCATGCATTTTCCAAACTGCTGGCCGTTGTTGCGAGCAAGTATTAGTATTTGATTCAGAATTTATTCAGTAACCCAATTAGCAGATCATAATAGCGTGCAACCACGTCCGTGCGAAGTAGTAGTGCAGACAATGAGCATCTTCGCTGCTTGATCTGACTAAAGAATTCAAAACCGCATCTTCAGATCGCTGACAATTGCAAAATTTCACTCTCATCAACTTTGTCCAAGATGATAATATTTCCCCGTGCACATAATTGTAGAGAGAATCGGCAAGTGTCTGAATAAGTCAGTCGGTCAGGTGCTCCCACATGAACCTGCCACTAACTTATCTTAGCCATATCTGCATGACTGTATCTATCCGTCTAGTTGCGGCCAAGCAAACGTTGCCTTGTCTTGTTCCTTTGCCGTGGAGGGCCAATAACGTGCTCCCATGCGCAACCACGCTCGGATACAAAAACGCCGCCGGTAGCAAGCTAGGCATCCCATGTGCTGCGATGCCATGTCTTACACTCAAACGAAAGCACGTGCTTTCTTGGCATGAAATCAAATTTGTTGATCTTATCATAATTTCACAATGACAACGTGCAAACTTAAAAGGGAAACACGGCCTAGATGAGTTTGACAAAGAAGAAGAAATGACAAAAAGCAGATTGTGTAAATGCCCCGAGTTTGTCTTTTGGGAGCACACAGATGGACACATCCATGAATTATTTTCAGAATTTTTCTAGGAACTTACAAATGACTAGACGAGAAAACTTGCACATAAACACCCTACTACTTTTGTTCATCTCGAAAGGGCAGTATTTTGCGTACGAGATAAATACACGGACTGCCATTGAAGTTGATGCAGAGACCGAGGGTAATCCATCTTTCTATTTTTTTTATTTAAAGTTGAGTCGAAAGCACACTATGGTCCTCGTACTTAAGCTTGTTACGGTCATTGAATATGTGTTGCGGTGATTATACTATCACCGACTCACCATAGAGCTATGTATTCTGCTGAGTTGACTGGTCAACCTTTTCACACAAGCACCATTGGCCTGTCAATCATGCGTAAGTGGGAGTTCGTCACTACACTCTCTCTATCTATGCGGCGCCCGCCAGTCAGATAGGCAGAGTGGTGGTGTAACCGACTACCATGTATGCATGCTTGACCAGTCAATTGGTGCTTACTTGAAAAGGTTGAACAATCAACCAAGCAGAATACAAAGCTCTATGCTGAGCTAGTGACCATATACTCACCACAAGACGTAATGATCGTAATGAGCGTACACAGAAGTACAACGACCGTAGTGTGCTTTCGATTCAACTTCAGCGACCGTCAGTGTATTCATGTCTTTGTGTACCGAGCGGCTGAGATAGCGAGACACACGTGATCCAACATTTTCTCCCTAAGTGTAGGACTTATTCTTTTCGAACAACCGGCACTAGGAGTGCTACTTTTCCATCAGAAGAATAGGAAAGTATGTATAAACATGTGGCCATATTTTGTTATACAAGGGCAACTCTAACCGTGTGCACCAAGACAAACACACCAAATGCCCGCAAGCACGTCCTGACGTGTACGTAGATAGGGGAGCCAATCATCCAACCGTGGACATCAGATAAGCATCAAATCCGGACAACAGGGTAGGCCATATGGACCTAGAGGAAAAAGCACATGAGGTGTGAGGAAATGTAGTCCACCTCACAAATGAGCCAGGTGGACATCCGGACCCCTTCTGGTTTGGTACCGACTTTGGGGAATTCAGACACCTGGATCATGCTGTAGACATTTGGTGCATGATGTTGGATGACAAAAGGTATCTGGAGCGCATGGTTCAAACATTTATGGCCTTTTTGGTGCACGACGTTAGAGTTTTCCTAATATGTCTAAACCCTAGAATCACACCCTACACTCGCGGGGGTTTTGGTGGGAATCCACGTGAGCGATGCCCTCAAAGGTGCAGTGGGCGTCTAGAACATATGACATTCTCCTGCCCTTGAAGATGTGCCGCTTCTTCCCCTTCCAAAGATTCTACATGAAGGAGATGATATGACTGATGTACTTGTGCTTATGTCCCTATCCATTTGGCACATCATGACATCCCGTCGGACATTTATGATAGTGGCGGTGTTCAAAGACACCATTGGTAGCTGAATATCAAAATGTGCATGAGCCGTCAAACCTCGAAGATGAAAAGAAATTCTTTGCATCGGTGGTTGGCGGATTCAACCCCCTCCCCCAAGGCAATGTTAGCACGATGTGTAATTAGTCGACCACACATAGCTAGAGGATCCACAATGAAGGAAGAGACCCGAGTTTTTTTTACTTTGATTTTGATGGGACTTTCTACATCCTTTTCCGCTAACAATTTTCATGGTATCTATGGAATTGTGGCTTATAGACTGAGCCGAGAGAGTACTCCGTGGAAGGGGTCTAGAGGTAAATAATCGAAACACACCTTTGGCGGTCAAGGATGATCTCTTTCAAGGTTAACACAAGTCAATGGACAGGAGGATCCGTGTCGACATGTTGATTCTTGCAACCGACTTAATTCAATTTCTATGCAAAACCTATTTGCTAACCACTAACCTCTGAGCGACACGATATTGAAGAGCTCAAGGTAACTTTAGCGAAAGGCCTCCTCCTTTTTTCCAACTGCCATGCCAAAATAAGGCCTTGTTTCCGTCGCTGAGGGTTATTGTCATCATCAAAACAATGAAGTCGTCGATTATCAGCATCAGAGCAAGGAAGCTTGGAGCTCATCCACGACCTGTCATGACCCGTCCGTTGCAGCCAAATCCAATAAACGCCGGAGGGTATCACTGAGCCCAAACCACAAGGGGATTGGGGCTGGTGGTAGACAGTCTCCCAATCCACGAGAGAGTGACGTTGGTCGTCTTTTGATGAAACCACGGTTTTAAAGGTACATGTGCATGTGTTTTTAATATAACGTGGTATTTTGACACAAAAGGACTTTTTCCCCCTCTTCTATGGACTCGGCTCCCCTGACGTACTGCAGGGCGCAATTGGGTCACTGACAGGTGGGCCAACTTGCTTTCGGACCCACCTGTCAATGGCCCAACTGCGCCCTGCAGTACGTCAGAGGAGCCTCGTCCCTCTTCTATCCATCTATCTATTGTCGACGACGAACGGGTCATTATCCGTGTGTTAAAAAGGGCCGCCCTCGTGTCTCCATCCATCATCGTCTGGCTCACATAGCGTGGCGGTAGGTGCACGAGACCCGCACCGGCGCCCTACCGGTTTCCACACAAATACTACGGGCCTTCTCCTCGTGTCCACTCTTCTTCTCCCCTCTCGCCTCTTCTGGCGTTCTCCCCTCCCCCCATCGCGGTTTGCCCCGCCGGCGGCGACGCGGACCTGACTGGCGCGAATCGGCTTCTTCTCTTTGCGGGTAAGGAACCCTATCCTATCCCGATTGGATTATCTTGATATGGATTTGTGTGGGAGTTCGTCTCGCGGGTCGCCTCTTCCTTTTGCTGCGTGGGGGCCGGCGACCGAAACCCGAATCCCCGTCGAGGTAGTTGCGGATTCGTCCGTCTGCTGCGTGGTAGACTGGTTGGTGCTCTTGCCGATTTGTCTGGTCTGGCTAGCTTAGCTGCTTCTTCAGCGCGCGAGACCGATCTGAGGCGGCCGGTAGCGCGGCCGCAGTGTATGAATTCGTCTAGATTTGTTTGTGTTCTACTAACGAGAGTTGGAGCATTAGAGTTCAGAGAACAATAATAGCTCGGAATTACATGCTCTCCTGAGTAAAGAACCACTGTACCGCCGACTTCTGTATGCTTATGTTTGGAATTTTGGACATGGCACCTGCTGGTCACTACTTTTCTCTTTGCCATGAAAGAATACTTGCAATTGCTCACAACATTTGTCCCCACCAACTAGTCTAATATGGGCGTTTATACAGAGATTACATTGTATATATAATTTTCTCTCCGATGCGGCAAGCTGACCAATCTGACGCACTTGCAGGATTTATGTGCCAAGCTGCATATTGTTCTGTTTTATTCCTTTGATCAGACTTGTTGAGCTGATTCCAGCAAGGAGCAATCTGCAACAACTTGGTGTTAAGCTTGCATCTTCCCTAAGCAGCTCTAGATTAAATGGGAGAAGGTAACTGCTTTTCCAACCTTGTATCTATCTTTTGAATTAAACTTAAGTTTTCCTTTGCCGCTAGATCCCTTACGTTATGCAGCAGAACATAACCCTCAGCCTGTCATTGTAAAAATAAACTGTTTTTTCCAGTAACTCCTATTACATCATGTTGGCATGTGTGGTAGCTTTATAGTTGTAAACATCATCAAGTTTCAACCTAATTATGATTCAGAGTTTACAGTTTTTTCTCTGTTTATTAGGGCTTTAGCTTGATCATGATGTGCATTATTTCAGTTTTGTTTATGTGATTACTTCTTAATCTGAATCACACTTGGCATTGCACAGCAAGCTCGGATGATCTTTGCCATTGTCAAGGGTGTCTTGGCAAGTACACCCTACTCAGAGATGAAGAGAACCCGCAGCTGGCAAGGTTTGAGAGACGGCTTCCTTGCTTTGGTTGCGGAATAGGATGGTCCTCGTAAGAATCCCTTACCATCCACACAAACAGTTCAGTTTTCAAATTCTGCATCTGGCAATATCAAACATGTTTCGGTTGCAGATTTCTTTTAGGTTTCTTGTGTCCATTGCTTTGGTACTATGCAACGACCCTTTACTGCTGCAAGTACTACAATAGGGATCCCCGAGAGCGCCCGGGTCTTGCTGCCTCTGCTATTGCGGTAGGTTATCCTTCCACAGTAAATCCTGAGCATGTTGCTATAATTAATGTAGCTTGAAAGAAAACAACTCATAGATGCAAAGTAGTGTAATAGACAAACCATATCTAAGGTACAGAAAGCAAAAGAGTTTTCCTGTAGAAAGTCATTTCTTCATGCATGTAAACCATCATGCAACCTGATTTGCAGATGTGTTGATGGTTCTGTCACCATATTGATTCACAGATTGATTATTTTTGTAGTCAAGGTGTGTTTTAATCCCGTTTGCTCCATCCTTTATATGAAAATGCACATATGTGAAAACGAACCCCATCTGTATATTTTCTATTTTCTATTTTTATGTGCCATTGTTTGCATGTGGAAACATCAAAGCTAGGTTTCAAACCAGTGTGCAGCCCTTTTAAAAGTTTTTTACCTTGAAAAACTTGTTCTTCACATCGAGTGTCGTTCCTAATGTTTCAGTTACTAAACAGTGGTCGTGCTGGCAACTCTTTACATCATTTGCAGTTTTTCTTCTTCTGTCCTGATAAGCTTTCTGAAATAGTTCTGGTTACAGCAAGTTTTGTGCTGAATGTTGCAATTTTTTTGTTATGTGCAGGCGGCCATCTTCACTACTGCGGCAACTATTACCCTCTCCATCATTCTGATAATCTGGGCACAAAAGTGATTTCTGAGGCAGGGAGAACATGGCTGGATGATTGGTTGTTTATCGGCAGATGAGGGATTCAGAAGGCAACTTGTAATGTTGATGATAGCAGGTCGTTTTAGTTCATCATGTAATCATAGTGCATATGCAAGTGTTTATCGAAGGGCTTCATCTATGGATTGTCGTCTCTCCCGAGTCAGTTATTCAATCTTTCTAAAAGGGTGGGAACAGTTGACTGTTTCTTCTGAAAAGCTTCCAATCCAGAGGCTACAGATCGAATTACATAAATTAGAGGAAAAATCCATACAGGTAGCCCATTCAGCAGGTAATTGCTGGGATTGAAACTGTAGTCATTATCACCAACTCACAATGAGAGATGCACTGATACACCTGGAAGTCATTATCTAGTATAGCACCGTCCTCTGAACTTGTCGAATTCTTAAGAGGTTAAATTTCTGATACGCCTATTTTACTTGCGGGGCGTGTTGTGGTGGGTTTTTCATGGTAGTACCATGTGAGACGATGATCCAGATCGAGTGTTCATCTCGAGAGCGCGCACTTCAGCAATGAACCATTCCGTCTCTCCAGTTGATTCCAGTGTTTGGATATAGAGTTGATTTATGGCACAGATCTGTTCAAGGATGAATTTTCTGGTTACAGTTTGAAGTACGACCGGGATTTCTTTTTCCAAAACATCTGGCACTTAATTATTCCAGAGAATCATCATAAAAAGTTTGAGGGATGAGCTCAGGGGCAACATCATGGAAAACAGAAAAAGTAGGGAAGCTCACCATCCCTAGCTAAAACATGCGCTGCCTTATTCGTATCAGGCGGACATGGTTGAAACATGCAGACAAGAATGAATTCACAAGCGCCTCAATGTCGAACAAGATACAACATTTGCATTTGAGCATATCTGACAAAGTGTTTAAACTAGTTTTATAAGTGATCAAGGACATTTCAGTAAATTGCTATGCTTATTTGAAAGCCACGGAGCATATTCAAAATGCCAAAAAATGCAACAAATATCAAGCAACAGACACGGACATTCAGTTAGTACCCGCAAAACAAAAAGACAGTTGTAATTTTGGTTGGGACGTTCCTATCGTATCAGGCTGTGGAGCTGAACACTTGTAGCTTTTCAATGCGAAAATTGAAGTTCTCAACCTATATGAAAATTGAAGTTTTCAACCTATTTCCAACCAAAAGGTAACGGAATAGTCTGAAAACAATCCCTAAATCGAACCATTCATAATAGAGTTCTCCTCGAGTCCCCACACAATTTCATATCGCTGAAGTCGGGCTCTTCGCAATGCAGTGTTCTCTTGAGCCGTCACATGATTTTGTGTCACCGAAATTAATTTTTACAATTGCATCTATAATCTATTGCTGAGACTTGAATAGATATCACAAATATTAGAAGGAGCATAAATGTGTAACAAAGAGGTCGAGTAAAAGGGAATCAGATCAATAATACAGTACTTCTGCATTTTTTCTTTCAATAATACCATAGTTCTCTACAACAATACGAATGAATATCCGAATCACGATCCGGTAGTAAAGCATGAATCGAGTTTACAAATCCTAGTTGTACAAGAATGGATCTCCGTGGAATGGGGGATCTTGCTATGGAGGAGTCCGGATGGATCTAAGTGAAGAAATTCCTTCACCCACCGGTACCAGAGGATGGTCTCATACTAGAGGTTAGCTTGCCTTCTGTTGCACTTGCTTGAGGTTGCTTCCAAAAAGGCAGATGTCACCGCTTGTCCATTTAATTATGGATCCAAATCCTCCCATGACCATAATATCATGTAATCAAAGCAAAGATCGAAGCAGCTCTCGCTTGAAGCTAGTCAAGATCTATGACATCTCTACCCTTTGGCATCAAGATACCAAAAGGAAGAAAGAGTCCTAAATGGCTCCCAAGACTAAGATTGTCGACGGGCGTTGGAGATGAAGACTAGGCATTCGCACCATTGGTAGCGTGTCATGGGAGTGGAGATGAATCCATCTGCAATGGTTCTGTCGGTGTGGATGAGGTGGCTAGAGCGGAAGGAGGGGTAGACACAACTGGCGGAGTGTTCCTGGGCAGAACAAAAAACTGATCCCTGGTCTCTAGTCCTTTTGCACCCTCATCACTATTCATATGTGCTTCCTCAGACATGAAAATCTCCTTTACCTCTCTGACTTCCACAACTAGAAGATCAATCATGGTGTTGATGTTGTGAACTTATGTCTCTACTACATTTGATAGGTTGTCTTGGTTCTTGGCGAGGTTAGATAGCCCTGCCTCGATCTTGATCCTCCGAATAGTTGAAAATACGAAACCGAGCTGTCAAGTTTGTGTCTTGCGGACCACAACTAGAGGCTGGGTAGATGAGCTGGGGGTGGCAGAATCTTTTGCATGGGGAAACTTCTTTGGCATCAACTTTTCGAGTTTCTCTATCTGCTTGGGTGTCATTGGGATCAAGTTGCACTGTACGGTCTTCAAGATCTACCTTGGTTAACTCATGTTTACAATCCAACGGGAATACTTATGTTCCAACTTTCAGAGATGATAAGCAGCTGAATGTATGGGTCATATCCACATGACCTCTTATGCTCAAAAGCGGTTCATTAGCTGCTGGGGGCCAAATCATCCATGCTGGCACCTTGTACATCATCTGAGAAAGAAGAGGAGGAGGGATCCGCCCCTTGTTCCAAATTAATTTCGGAATCGGAAAGTACTCCCTGAGAATCTTCTGAGCCAGACATGCCGACCATGTGAAGTAGTAAGAAAAGAATAGAAAAGAGGAGGATCAAAAAGTGCAAAAGTTTCAATAACAATTGAGTTCAAAATTTAGAAGTAGGTTTTGGTTGTGAACATGTGGAATTTGCGAGATGGTTAGTTTGTGATTTTCGAGGAAACAACAAAGGGCGTGCCACACTAGAATAACTGAAGTAGGGGCTCGGTGTCTCCAAGGCAGACTCGGAAGCTACAACTACTTATATCAGAGTCACTAAACACGCATGTTTCAAAATTTCCAAGGCCACTATAGAGAGTTGGCCAGACTTGTTCGGAAGCTCAGAGTGATTACTGATTGGACGCTTTGAAACATGCATTGGAAAAACCTAACCCTAACAGAATTGCTCAAAACCTAGAATTACTAGATTGGAATTTAAACCAATGCGGGATGAATTTGTTGTAGTAACTTAGTGCTGAATCGAACATGGATGTGCCAAGGGTTATGTATGCACCTCAACTCGGTGGTGCAGAACTACGACGAGGATGGTGGGGTTGATTTCCGACGGCGATGGGCAAATCCAGGGGGCGCGGGTCATGGGTGCACAAGGATGATCGCTAGGGGCGCACGAGGCAGAGGCATGATGGTGTCTCCGAGTTGTTTTTTTGGCAAGAATTCCTCGAAAACGACTTAGATCCACGATATAAATACTCATGTACTATTTGGACGCTCCGACTAAATTTCACTCGGACGCTCCAGGTTGTATATTTTTCTATTTGAAGATTTTCTCGGTGGATCCAAGTGTAATTCGATCGACTATTTGGAAGAACAAAAAATAGATCAATTTGTCACATCAAAAAGACCGAGAGAACTGTTTTTGGTGGTTTCGATAAAAAGCTTTTAATAGGCACACTCATATCAGATTGAATGCTCTGAATGCTCCTCATCCGGAGGGATCAAAAGAAACTTGTTTCAAATTTTGTGATCAAGCAAGAAATAGAATTGGGACAAGAATCAAGCTAGGGAGGCTGTTGGGGAACGTTGCAGAAAATTAAAATTTTTCCTACGGTTTCACCAAGATCCATCTATGAGTTCATCTAAGCAACGAGTCTAGGGAGAGAGTTTGCATCTACATACCACTTGTAGATCGCGTGCGGAAGCTTGCAAGGTGATGATGTAGTCGTACTCGACGTGATCCAAATCACCGATGACCAGCGCCAAACGGACGGCACCTCCGCGTTCAACACACGTACGGAACGGCCACGTCTCCTCCTTCTTGATCCAGCAAGGAAGGGAGGAGAGGTTGAGGGAGATGGCACCAGCAGCAGCACGACGGCGTGGTGTTGATGGAGCTGCAGTACTCCGGCAGAGCTTCGCTAAGCACTATGGAGGTGGAGGAGGTGTTGGGGAGGGAGAAGGAGGCAACCAAAGGCCAGGGCGTTCAGGTATGAAGTCCCTCCTCTCCCCCACTATATATAGGGGTGCCAAGGGGGGGTGGCCGGCCCTAGGAGATCCAATCTCCTAGGGGGTGCGGCGGCCAAGGGGGGTTTTCCCTCCCCCCAAGGCACCTAGGAGGTGCCTTACCCTCCTAGGACTCTTGCCCCCTTGAACCCTAGGCGCATGGGCCTATGTGGGGCTGGTGCCCTTGGCCCATTAGGCCAAGGCGCACCCCCACACAGCCCATGTGGCCCCCCGAGACAGGTGGACCCACCCGGTGGACCCCCGGGACCCTTCCGGTGGTCCCGGTACAATACCGATAACCCCGAAACTTGTCCCGATGCCCGAAACAGGACTTCCCATATATAAATCTTTACCTCCGGACCATTCCGGAACTCCTCGTGACGTCCGGGATCTCATCCGGGACTCCGAACAACATTCGGGTTACTGCATATACATATCCCTATAACCCTAGCGTAACTGAACCTTAAGTGTGTAGACCCTACGGGTTCGGGAGACATGCAGACATGACCGAGACTCTCTTAGTCAATAACCATCAGCGGGATCTGGATACCCATGATGGCTCCCACATGCTCCTCGATGTTGTCATCGGATGAACCATTATGTCGAGGATTCGATCAAACCATGTATGCAATTCCCTTTGTCAATCGATACGTTACTTGCCCGAGACTCGATCGTCGGTATCCCAATACCTTGTTCAGTCTCGTTACCGGCAAGTCACTTTACTCGTACCGTAATGCATGATCCCGTGTCCAACACCTTGGTCACTTTGAGCTCATTATGATGATGCATTACCGAGTGGGCCCAGAGATACCTCTCCGTCATACGGAGTGACAAATC